TCTTCACGCACGCCTTTCGGTCAGTTTTACGTTTGGTACACTCTTTTGCCCTGGCAGCAGCTTCACTCGTGTGTGTTTCGTCTTTCCCCCCTTCCCCTCCCACGCAGCCACCCAGCCACTCACCTTGGGCTGGTCAATGGTGGCCGCATCCCCCAACGCCCAGATGCTGCCATCACTGCCCTTCACCCGGAGGCACTCGTCAGTCAGGACCGACCTGAGGACCGCGGAGGGCAGGGAATAGGGGCCACTGTTGGGCTAGTTGCGAGGGCCTCCTTCCTCCGCCCCTCCCCGTCCCCCTCAGAGCCCAGCTCGCCCTTCTCCTAAAACCCACCAGACACACAAACACATACGTAGATACACTAACACATACATACAGACATACACACCTGAAGTGCGACTGCCCAGGCAGCTTCTCCTGAAGTTGCCGTATCAGGGGGTTCATCGCAATACCCGTCGCCCACACACAGGCTCCGAACCTAGCCGGGGGAATGTGTGTGTGTGGGGGGGGGGAGAGGGCAGGGGAGACATAACGGAACAACATCAGCATCATGCAAGTGATTGGTCAAGACAACCATGGGGCCCAGTTCACACGCAGCAGCACAGCTGGGCGTCCGTCCGTCCGTCCGTCCGTCCGTCAGCTGGTCGCCCCTGAGGGGGGTTTCTGGGGGGGAAAAGACTATGTAGCGCCGCTCCACTGGCCAGCAGGAGGTGGCCTCCTACCGCTCTCCCCCTCTCCTCGGCCCCCCCTTTCCCTGCCCCTCCTCCTCCTACGCCCCTCCTCCCCCCCTCACTTTATCTCCGTAACCTCGTTGGCCTTGTTGACCACCCGAACACAGCCGTCCTCAACGGCCGCCACCCGGCTGTTTAGAACCAGCTTGATGCCTGGGAGGCGGGGGGTAGAGGGGGGGGGTAGGGGGTTTAGGGGGGGGTAGGGGAGAAGGGGTAGGGGAGAGGGGAGACTGGTGGTGGTGCGGCAAGGAACGAATGACCAGACACACAGTTCAGCGCACAGTATGTGTGCATGTGTGTATGTATGTGTGGAGAGGAAGGGTACAACAGCAAGAGCCATGATCCAACCCTAAGCTACCCACCAGTCTCCAATACAGCCCCTTCCCTGCCCTGCCCTTTCCTGCCCCGCCCCGCCCCGTACTGCCCCGCCCCGTACTGCCCCGCCCCGTACTGCCCCGCCCCGTACTGCCCCGCCCCGTACTGCCCCGCCCCGTACTGCCCCGCCCCGTACTGCCCCGCCCCGTACTGCCCCGCCCCGTACTGCCCCGCCCCGTACTGCCCCGCCCCGTACTGCCCCGCCCCGTACTGCCCCGCCCCGTACTGCCCCGCCCCGTACTGCCCCGCCCCGTACTGCCCCGCCCCGTACTGCCCCGCCCCGTACTGCTCTGTCATGTCCAGGATCTGGAGCTGCTGTCCCAATGCCGCTCCGCAGGGGAGGCCCGGCAGCATTCCTTAATGCCACCCCACCCCACCACCTACCACCCACCTCCCAGCAAGGCCCCCAGCGGCCTCCAGCACCCAGCCAGGAAAGCAGACACACAGACAGTCGCACAGACCCCCCCCCCCCGCCACACACCCCCAGGCACACCTGCGCGCTTGAACTGCTCGGCAGTGTAAATGGAGATGGCCCTGTCGTACGTTGACAGCACGTGATCCATCAGCTCCACAATTTGAATCGAGACCTGGGGATGAAGGACGCGGAGAGCGGACCGGTGGCGGCATCACCGGCAGCCGGGGGGTATCGGGGGGATATCGGTCGGGGTGGGAGACGAAGGAGAAGGAGAAGGAAACGAGGGAGCAGGCGGCCGTCGCGTGTGCACCGTCCACGCTGTGTCCGTCCGCCGGCCCCGTACATATCCGAACATCGACACACACACCGCTGAGAGAGTGGTTGCTGCGACACTTCTGGAGCTCCGAAACCGCCCCCTTTCCGAAACCGGCCCCCCTTTAGGTGGCCCTCCCCTCTTCCCCTCCTCTCCCCCCCCCCTTACCTGCCAGGGCACATCAGCCCAAGGGAGAGAGAGAGAGAGAGAGAGCAGATGGATAACCCCCAACCCAGGGACGGTCCCCAGTACCGCTATTCATACCGCTTCATAGGGCCCTCATAAGCCGCTCCCTCCAAACTGGGCCCCACAGCCAGCTCCCACGACTTCAGGAGGCGGGTCAATACCTTCCCCAAATACTGTACGTAGCGCTAGGTTAAAAAATTTAAAAAGCCCAAAAGGGAGGATTCGAAGCGGGGACTCACGTCCTTGACAATGTTAGGGTAAAGCTTCGACAGGTCGCACTCAATCATGTCGTACAGCTCCGCCGCCACCTCGACGCCCGTGGGGCCCCCGCCCACCACCACAAACGTGAGCAGCTTCTTGCGTTCCTGTAGGCAGCACATACATGCATACATACATACATACATAGATACATAGATACATAGATACATAGATACATAGATACATAGATACATACATACATACATACATACATACATACATACATACATACATACATACATACATACATGCATACATACATACATGACAAGTGAAAAGACAGTTTGGACACCGGGGAGGTTTGTACACACACACACACACACACACACACACACACACGTGCATATTGTGCCGTGTGGAGAGTGCGTTCGGGAAAGTCAACCGAACGCAGGTTCGGGTTGGAAGAGAGCAGTTCGAGAATGATGACAATTTCGGTCGGATCGATCTATTTGGACCCGCTGGGACGCGTTGTTTCCTGTTTGTCAGGATCGTGTCAGGGTCGGAGTGGGCCCCACATGCATATCAAACCATGTATCACACCATCACCTGGAAAGACATTACCATTCTCTACATTACTGTTATGTAGCCACTACCCCGCCAAGGTACGGCACACACACGCACATCACACAGATATCCCCCCCCCCCCCCGCTCTCTCCCCTCCTTCCCCTCCCTTCCCACACACACACCTCCTCTGGGGTGGCAGGCAGCGCTGCCCGCTCGAAGCACTCGGACACTCGAGCCCTAAGCCGGCCCGCGTCCTCAATGGATTTGAAGTAGAAGCAGTACTGGTCGACACCCCGGATACCGAACGTGTTGTTGACCGAGCCAACCTGGGGCGGGGCGGGGCGAAGGAAGGGGGGAGGGATGGGTTGCAACAACAACCACCAGCAACCATCAGTAGCCGGAGAGTCTAAAAACGAGAGGGGAGCTGCGAAGCAGCAGCAGCAGCAGCAGCAGCAGTAGCAGTAGCAGTAGCAGCAGCAGCAGCAACAGCAGCAGTAGCAGCAGTAGCAGCAGCTGCAGTAGCAACAGCTGCAGCAGCAGCAGTAGCAACAGCTGCAGCAGCAGCAGCAGTAGCAGCAGCAGCAGCAGCAGGAAAACAACATCGTCGGAGAGGGCAGGCACGGGAGCAGCTACACAGAAGCCGCCTACCCCTTCCCCCCTCCTC